ATCCTTGCCAGTCCTCGTCACGGTATCAATCACACAGCTTCTCACCGCGGGTCTCGCTCCTGTGTCCTTCGTCCGTGCTTCAGTGTGCTGCACCACCGGCTGGAATTCTGAGACGTCTCTCGGAATCGGAGAATGGAAGAGGGCCCCGAGGAGAGGAAGGAGATTCCGTTGGGGAAGGGTACGAAGGACGCGAGGAATTGACGTTGAAGGATGACGGATGAATGTGAGTGAGGTTGACGGGGGATGAGGAGGATAATAATAATAACACGGAAGATTAATAATACGCTTCGTGTGAGTTTTGAAGGGGGAGGGGTGAGTGAATTTTTCGAGGAGAATTTCGAGGAAGGACGAGAAGGGGAGAGGAAAGTTGAATGAGAATTGAAAATTCTTCGCGGATCGTTTTCTTCGTTCTTCGAAGATTGAAAAATCGTGGAGGGAGGAGGGATCGTTGTGTGCAAATTGTTTGACTTTGACCGGCCACGTGATCGAACGGGGGAGGAGGTGGAAGAAGAAGATGCAACGAGAGGTATTCGTCGGGATATATGATCGATTCGAAGATACGATGACGTTACACGAGTACGAGGTGAAATGAGAAATTGTTTAAGACTGTGCGAAATGATGACACCGATGAAATATAGTAATTAGATATAGGAGTTTAGTAAGAGGGGTCGATTAAGGGATCGAAGAAGATTGGAAGAGCGGTCGAGATGTCGTCGAAAACGCTGCATAACGAGCATATCAAGCGGCCGATGAACGCGTTTATGGTGTGGTCACGAGGGCAGCGACGGAAAATGGCCCAGGAAAATCCCAAGATGCATAATTCCGAGATTTCGAAGAGGCTCGGCGCCGAATGGAAACTGCTCAGCGAAAGCGAGAAACGGCCTTTCATCGACGAGGCTAAAAGATTAAGGTAAATGTCAAAAAAAAGTAATTGGAAAAAAAAGAAATAACTCGCGTTCGATTTCTTCTTAAATAAAAAATATTGAAAATTATTCGAGTTTTATAAGTTCTTTAAATTTCATCTGTTAAATTCGAGGTTTTATTCGATTCAGAAGGAAAATAGAATCGAAAATTCTTCCTTTCGTATCGTTTTCGATCGATGCCGAGGATTTTTTTCTCTTCCGCGTGCTAATTGCTCTTTAGTCACGAGTGGTCGAAAGAAATTATCGCATCGAGGCGTATCTGCAATAACCGTGAAGGGGGAGATGAAAAACGTGGAAGGAGGGGGAGGGAAGGAGGAGCCCGTAGTTCATAATACGGTACATTGTTGCTAAAGCTAAGGGCGTGCTGCGCTAAGCCAAGGGGTGGAATAGGGTGAACGAAGTGGTATTTATGGAGGTGGAGGGGACAGCCTCTTTATTACCGACCCTGAATATTTAATCATTGTTATGAGTTTATTTAGCCCGCGCTGTAACGATGAACAGGTCTCGAGAGAAACTTCACGATCGAAATACGATATTTTTATCGTATTTGTTTCGTATTCTTCGAGGAGATTAATGAGGAAATGATTGCTACTTTAAATTTAATATCCTAGACAAGATTTACTTTAAACATCTTGAGAATATTTTATATACTCACTAGACGATAAATTAAACATCGGTAAAAAAAAAAAAAAAATGTACATATAATAATTTGGAATAATAAATTTGGAATTTTTCCATTCTTCGATACTAAAAATATTAAATGTGTAAATTAATTACACATAATAATAATCTTATTAAAATTGTGTGCCGTGATTTGAATACATTTGAATTTAAAATAAAAAGAATATTCGAAATAATTTAAACACGCCTACCGCTAACGAGAAACTAAAAGTATAAAAGGAAAAATTATAAAAGTATTACGGTATATAATTTAGAAGCTAAGCGTTTTTAAAAAAAAAAAAATATTCCTTTAAATTCTCTCATATAAATTTCTAGCATTAACGAAGGTATTAAGCTTGGGGAAAACAATAAAGAACGAGAGAGATAAAAGCGATTCAGTTCTAAAAAACAATAAAGGTGAAATACAAGGGAGGCGGGGGAACACGTTGAAAGGAGGATTAATTTAAAAGTACGATGGGCGAATTGTTGATGACAGAATCGAGCTCTATCACGGTTTTTCAAAGCAAAAATTGTCGGAATAGCGAATTGATAGGAGACGGCAGCCGGGATTGAATATAAACTCGCGAAATCGGCCGCGGCGGCGACGAAGCTCGTAAAATAAATAATAGAATAATAAAATCGCTTCTCTCTCTCTCTCTCTCTCTCTCTCTCTCTCTCTCTCTCTCTCTCTCT